GGAACAACCTTAAATCCAACACGTAACAGTCTTAAATCCAACACGTAACAATCTAAAATCCCACACGGAACAACCTTAAATCCAACACGTAACAGTCTTAAATCCAACACGTAACAGTCTTAAATCCAACACGTAACAGTCTAAAATCCTACATGGAACAAGAACTCATGTGGAAGCACCTCAAATCCCACACTGAAGAGTATAAAATCCCATGATTTCTTATGTTTTATCCATGAACCAAGTAATGAAAAGTTGGCACAAATGAACAATTTTATCTGAATGGAGGTTTTCCCTACTGATTAATTGATGATAACATTCACTGCATGCTACTGACCTCAAGTGTCTTGAGTCCACAATGGCCGCTGCAGGCGGTTGTATGCTCAGAATTTGGCCGATACCTTTTTAACTTGAGAGGTTTTCTTTTTGAGGTACATAAACTACACTTTTAAGTTTGGCTATTTAGAAATCTGAACATTTGCATATCATAGCAATTTAACTGATCTGCAAAGCCTACTTGGTTACTGCTGGTTTCATTTGGGTGTATCATTCTGCTTTTAACCTGTTGAATGGGTTCACCTGCAGATGCACCACCAGCAACACGTACACTCTGTCGATTGGTTTCAGCAGTAGCACTGATTCTTTAAGGTGCCATGAGGTTCTACACTGAACCAGCATTCTGTCACAGCAGGGCACTGTGTATAACCTGCACACACTGTGCGTATCTGGAAGTTCAAACCTGGAGATGTGTGAAGTGAACACCTAAACCACAACTCTAACTCGATGCCCTCACCTGTCCTAACGACCTATTTCCTTAAACACCTTCAACCTGCCTCACCTGGGCTGTTAATCAAGCCATGCTCACACCGACAGCAATGATGTGCTGACTGAGACAAACTAGGGCTGAAATTCTTTCCATATACAGTCTGTGTTGTCATGTACTCTTTCTAAAATACGTTAACAAGTAATCTGTTGTCCCGCAATCTGTATTTTCCGATTCCAAGCATTTTAGGTCTGATCCAATACACTGAATATTTAAGGTCAACGGAAATCCCTGTTCAAATCCTTGATGCATATTTCATCTTAGTACTATTACACACATCCACACAAAGAAGGAAGTTGTACGAGCAATCTGTGGATGACGTTACACACGCCATTGCCAATTCAGTCTTCACATGTCAGGAAATTAGGCAATCTTCTCTTATATCTTCAAGTACACTTGCCTTCAACTATTTCTCATCCTACGGATTATATGTGAAATGAAAATGTTCCCTTCTTGCAGATACAAGTATCTGAGGCGGTATGAAGCTCGTATCTCCATCTGCCTGTAATGATGCTATGGAGTCAGACATGCAATGGTATGAAATTTTAAACATGTTCTGACAGTGAGTCGTCATGATGAATGGACTTCAGGTTCTTAGTATATCTTCAGATAAAACTGAAAAAATATTTAACCATGTTTCGTTCTCATTTAACCACATATCTATCACAGGACAGAGTTATTTTTTCTGCCCCATTTGCTAATCATAATGGTACATGCATTGAGGGGGGAGGCTAGCTCACAGAGTCTATCCTGGTACAGCCAGATTAATCATTAAATGGACATAGTGAAATCCTTGGCAAAACATGGGAAACTGGTAGCTCATGAATCAGATGCCAAGTCCTGCTACATCTTGGTCAGAGCAGTGATGATCATAACCACAGACAAGGAGCCCCAGTCACTTGGGTTTGACAGATTCACAGTCAGCACTAACTATGACTACCAGACATAACTATGTCTGCATTCCCAGGTGATAAGGCTGAAAACATTGGTGCATTGTCTGGTTGAATGGTATACACCCATGATGATCAGGTTCCACACACAATTTGACCTTTGTAGGATACTAGGTTTGACCATTTCTCATGACTTAAACGTTTATGATATATATAGACTTTATCTGAAGCACACAACCTTGCTTTGGTTAGACAATACATACAGATGACAAACTTTGGTGGACCATCCACCTAATGACAGTTTCTGAGTGGTTCTGAGGTCAAACTTTGAGTACATAGACATAAACTGAAAATACAGGGCTCTATCATTTTATTTTTATGGCATCAATTTGTTTCAGTTTGGCTGCCAATGAAACCTTTGACTTTCATTGCCTTCACATCCTTCATCACCAAAATGCATTTACATCACTTTAAATTGAAAAATAAGCAGAGCATATAAGACAAATGAAGCTGCCACCCCCTTCACCTGTCCCTCCCATACATCAAACATTTACCAGTAAAAGACAAAACATTTCTTATTAACATTCACAGTTTTGATGAAGAAGAGTCCTCGTAGAAATGTTGGCTTGACATTCAGCAACACTTCGTCCACCAGTCGCCCCTGGCCTCCCCGGCTTTACAACTTCCTGGCTTATCAAAGCTCAGTTAATGTCGCCAGTGACTGCTGGGGCCTCAACCAGATCACCTCTCAATTCAATTTATAAGAAATACACTTAAGAGTCATTTATCACATTTGTAGAATTTACATCATTTAAGCTCAATAAAAGACATGCTATTTTTGTAGCCTTTGATTTTACAGCGTCTTGCGTGCCCATGGGGTCCTTCCTGTGATGGGTGTAAATCGGCCCCAGTGGGTCCATGTGATCAACTTCTCCACCATACTGTCACATCTTCAACTCAATTCATGGTGCTTTAGCTTCACATCACCCGAGAGGATTGCACAAAATATAGTCAACTGTCATCCAAGCTAAAAATAAACGATAATTCAATAAAGTTCAGGATATCAAAAACCTGTTCCCGTTTGTTGGTCGTGCCTTTAAGATCAGACACAAAAAAACAGATGTCAGAAAATAATCCGAACCATCCTTTAATCCAATCTCTCACCACTGACACAGGAGACAGTTTTGTGTAGGAGAAAGAAACTTTGTCTTCCATCAGTGTCAGGGCATAAATTCCTGTCACAGACAAAGGACTTGCTAGCTTGATATTGGTCTCAACTCTCAAACACCACATTCTCTGGTATTCTGACATTTGGACCGTTTTACACAGAGACCCACCAGAAATAGACTTCACACATTATACCCATGTGGACAATCTAACGTGGGTTAACCCCTAGATTTATCTACTTCACAGCCTACCCACAACCACCTTGTACATGCAAGGTGGAAAGGAAGTGACAGCAAAGCAGGGATTACCATATTCAATTTTTACCAACACTTGGACACATCAAACAACGTAAAACCATTTAGATAAGCCGGGGTCTTTGCGTCACGCAACAGATGGAGACAGTGTGTTCATCTGGATTACCATATTCAATCTCATAAGTATTCTACAAAGTTAAGTCAAATATTCAACAGCAAGTGAAAGAGTGAAGGATATTGCTTGAAATTCCCTGTCAGCACTCCTTCCTGTTCATGGCCATGAATATGATGAAAGAGGAAGCGATTGACGAGCATGTACACAGCGAATATCCTGATGACTACAGAGGTACTTTTAGTCTCAGGCAATCATTGATAAAAAGGTATCAGGATTTAATGACAATGGATAAGAATGAAAAATATGTTTAAAATAAGTTCCATTTGCTTATCAGGACTATATTGACCTAGAACAGTATTAAATACAGCAGATGAGAATATTGCATTATACCTAAATGAGTGAGTGAGTATGCTTTTATGCCGCTTTTAGCAATATTCCAGCAATATCATGGCGGGGCGACACCAGAAATGGGCTTCACACATTGTATCCACGTCAGGAATTGAATCTGGGTCTTCAGCATGACGAGCAAACCCTTTAACCACTAGGCTACCCGACCACCCTCATACCTAAAGACTTGGTTGAATAAATAATACAGAAGATCAAATTGAGTCTACATAGATTTGAACAGTATTTAAGTGACATTAAGTGAGGAAAGCCCACAGTGGCACACATTTGTGTACTGGCGAGGTGCTAACACACCAAGCATAATCATCACGGCAAATCCTGGATTCGAGCCTCCGATCAGCCCATCCTGACAGCAGTCTAGGGCCAAAACCTCCACCACAGTGAGAAGCTGCAGCAGAGACTGATGCCCCATGTCAGGAAATCACGACTACATATTAATCACTTTAAAAGACATCGACTCAGTACGACACATCAAAGTCCATCCATCACATCCAGAAGGATATAAACTTCCCTCATACGAGTTGACATGGCTTTTTCATACAATGTCGGCTCTTCCTAATTCGAGAAATATGTCCAAGGTATTTACATTGATTAACTGCATTATGAGAATTATGTGAAACAATATATCACCATGGAGCATAAAAAAAACACATGCCGCCCATCATGAATGGACATGAAACAAACCATTTCTGTTGAAAAACAATGTTACAATGTCATTGACATATGTCGAAATGCATCAGCACATTTTAACATGTAAACCCGATGAAGTTCCCCGATGATGATATTGCTGTGGATGTACGTCTATACTGTATCTAATACCCAAGCCTCCCTTCACCAGAACAAACATGTTCCAATATCCTCCGCCACTGTCAGCGGATCTGTTGCCCATTACTTCTCACCACGACCAACAAATTGCCAACTCTCCCAATCCTATCACTTACCTAAGACAATAGCATGTGATCCAGGCTAATTCTACTTGCAGGACATCTTCTTAAAGAATCAAGAAACATTATCCTTCTCAGAGGGTTGAACATTTAAAGGAGAATCATTGTTAGATGTCACTGAGAAATTGTAACTCAAAAGATAAATTTCAGACAAGAATGATTTTTCTGTCAAAGGTTCTTCTTGTTCATATTTAACAGAGGGCATCACATAAGGGAAGAAATTTCTAGAAAATATAAAAAAAATACATAACCTTATGAAACTCAACAAGTGTTCCTATGTCCAACAGACATTGTCTCACTTTACAGATCAGTGTCTATCTGTATACATGAGGAACTGGCTGTAAATATAGTGCTGGTATGAAATGATGGTATGAAGTGGTGGTATGAAGTCTACAGGTGTCCTACCTTCGGGCTGGGTGTTGGTACTCCACCTGCTCCTGTGTGTGAGCTCGGGCACAGAGGTAGCACCAGCGTCTCCTGCCACCACTTCCTAGCTCTGCTACACCACACCGCAGTCAAGGCAAGATTAGCTTCTGCTGTAAACTGTTAATGCTTGCAGTTACCCATTCTGTCATGAATCCCACACTATTGATCAGGCAGAGAACGAGAGAGATCTAAGCAGCAGGCAAAGAGGGCTTCATTCACTGTGTAGTCGTCTTAGTTGCAAAGGCGTCATCAACTTCCGAACTACAACCCAAAGTGACATCGCTGAAGACTTTTTACAAAATCGTTTCAGAAAGTTGTAGAAATATCACCAGGACAAGTGTTACAGATAGGGAGTCTGGCAACCCTGGCTGACATTGTGTCTTGAGTGAGTACAGAGGTGATGCTGGTATTCTTGGGACGTGACTGCTGATATCCCATATTACCTTATTGATCAGCTATACTGCAAGTCTGACCAGCACTGGAACCCACACAACACAACATAACTGTCACTGAACAAAGCAACATCAATTACTTTTCACGTTTAACATAAACAAGAACCCACTGTAAAAATTACCCACAGAACTGTACACACATTGGACAATCAATTCTACCATGAAACTGTCAGCCAGAATTAATGATCTTGTTTATGCAAATACAGGCTGGCCAAATAGTTACTAAAAGAGAATACCCTGAGATAAATGGCACTGAATAAAAAAACTGAGCAGTTTCCTATGTAAATCAATTTGACTTTGTCAGTTCTTCTGGGAGACCAAATGTATAGACTTATTATTGAGCAATAAATAAACGCTAAGTTTACTGAAAACACAAAAATATTGTAAAGATGAAATCGAACAAGACTGTGTGTGAAAGAAAGTGGTGAAAAGATTATTACCACAATCTGAACTCAGGCTTTTTGTCAATCGGTAGAAAAACAGAACAGAGCTACAGTCATAATGTGCTACATTGATTCACAGGCCTCAATACACAATCAGATTCCTTCACTTCAGTACTTTAAATTCCAGCTTCCCCATACAATAGATTTGATTTTTGTGTTAATGATTTCCAATGTTAGTGTCAAACAGTCAATATCGCGTCCCGGAAATGAGCCCATGCAGAGGGAGCTCATGGAATCGGACGTGGCCTTTTCCCGGACAATACGGGTGCGTGTGCCCCCCTGGCAACACCCACGGCGCTATCACCTACGTCATACCTTCATTACACAATGGTTCTCGGCAGGATGACATCCACCATCAAGACTACTATGTTACCATGCTTTCTATAGGCAGCATCAGACAATCACATCAATGTATAGTCAGAAGGTGTCATTTTTCAGTGATTTAAAATCTAAATAAAACATGATTTGTTTCTGATCTTGTTTCTTGAGGTTACATTTCGCCGGTTATATTTTTGCAGTGAGTAAGTCGTTCTTTACAGGACCCTTCCTGCCTTAAGAACTGTGAACTGCTAATTGAGTCAACAATCACTCACTCACCAACTGGGGGCCTCTTGGCTGACAGAAGAATTGTCAGTATCATGCTTCATTGTACAAGGTTACTGGTCACACAAGTTTCTCATCTGACCTCTATTACAACTGGAATCACAGACACACAAGTGTTCTCCATCAACAGTGTGTAGTATGTACAACTCTGTCACTGAGTGGAGTTAAACATTATCCTCAACCCCCTACATAACCTTTAACCCTTAAATTCACCACAAACCTGAACTTGAAAGTGAGTGAGTTGAGTGCAGCTTTGAACAGTGAGTGGTTGAGTATTGTTTTACGCTGCTTTTAGCAATATTCCAGCAATATCATGGCAGGAGGCACAAGAACAGTGAGTGGGTGAGTATTGTTTTACGCTGCTTTTAGCAATATTCCAGCAATATCATGGCAGGAGGCACAAGAACAGTGAGTGGGTCAGTGTTGTTTTACGCTGCTTTTAGCAATATTCCAGCAAATTCACAGCAGGAGGCACAAGAACAGTGAGTGGGTGAGCATTGTTTTACACTACTAAAAGCAATATTCCAGCAATATCATGGCAGGAGGCACAAGAACAGTGAGTGGGTCAGTATTGTTTTACACTACTAATAGCAATATTCCAGCAATATCATGGCAGGAGGCACAAGAACAGTGAGATGGTGAGTATTGTTTTACGCTGCTTTTAGCAATATTCAAGCAATATCATGGCAGGAGGCACAAGAACAGTGAGTGGGTGAGTATTGTTTTACACTACTATTAGCAATATTCCAGCAATATCATGGCAGGAGGCACAAGAACAGTGAGTGGGTGAGTATTGTTTTTTACGCTGCTTTTAGCAATATTCCAGCAAAATCATGGCAGAAGGCACAAGAACAGTGAGTGGTTGAGTGTTGTTTTACGCTGCTTTTAGCAATATTCCAGCAATATCATGGCAGGAGGCACAAGAACAGTGAGTGGTTGAGTATTGTTTTACGCTGCTTTTAGCAATATTCCAGCAATATCATGGCAGGAGGCACAAGAACAGTGAGTGGGTGAGTATTGTTTTACGCTGCTTTTAGCAATATTCCAGCAATATCATGGCAGGAGGCACAAGAACAGTGAGTGGGTGAGTATTGTTTTACGCTGCTTTTAGCAATATTCCAGCAATATCATGGCAGGAGGCACAAGAACAGTGAGTTGGTGAGTATTGTTTTACACTACTATTAGCAATATTCCAGCAATATCATGGCAGGAGGCACAAGAACAGTGAGTGGATGAGTATTGTTTTACGCTGCTTTTAGCAATATTCCAGCAATATCATGGCAGGAGGCACAAGAACAGTGAGTGGGTGAGTATTGTTTTACACTACTATTAGCAATATTCCAGCAATATCCCAACATCACGGTGTGCGGGTCTGAGATGTTTGTTCACCTCACTACAGCAAAGAGACAGGCCCCAAGGAAGAGTAATTGCTCAGGTATGAATCTTGGCCTAAAGGCCTGTTATGTTTGCAGTCTTTCACACATCTTTTTTCTGATATTGATATGATTACATATACAATATATCAATAAGATATTCACTATTCAAGCAATAAATCATATCACTACAGTTCCTCACTCAATGTCAACAACCGCAAGAACCACATCAACATTCACATCAACAACCACACAAACAATCACATCAACAACCACATCAACAACCACATCAACAATCACATCAACAATCACACCAACAACCACATCAACAATCACACCAACAACCACATCAACAACCACATCAACAATCACACAAACAACCACATCAACAACCACATCAACAACCACATCAACAACCACATCAACAACCACATCAACAACCACATCAACAATCACATCAACAACCACATCAACAATCACACCAACAATCATATCAACATTCACATCCACAATTACATCAACAACCAAATCAACAATCACACCAACATTCACACCAACAATCACACCAACATTCACATCAACAATCACACCAACAACCACATCAACAATCATATCAACATTCACACCAACAACCACATCAACAATCACACCAACAATCATATCAACATTCACATCCACAATTACATTAACAACCAAATCAACAATCACACCAACATTCACATCAACAATCACACCAACAATCACACCAACAATCACATCAACAATCACATCAACAATCATATCAACATTCACACCAACAACCACATCAACAATCACACCAACAATCATTTCAACAATCACACCAACAATCATATCAACAACCACATCAACAACCACATCAACATTCACATCAACAATCACACCAACAATCACATCAACATTCACATCCACAATTACATTAACAACCAAATCAACAATCACACCAACATTCACATCAACAATCACATCAACATTCACATCAACAATCACACCAACAATCATATCAACATTCACATCCACAATTACATTAACAACCAAATCAACAATCACACCAACATTCACATCAACAATCACACCAACAATCACACCAACAATCACATCAACAATCACATCAACAATCATATCAACATTCACACCAACAACCACATCAACAATCACACCAACAATCATTTCAACAATCACACCAACAATCATATCAACAACCACATCAACAACCACATCAACAATCACATCAACAATCACACCAACAACCACATCAACAATCACACCAACAATCACACGAACATTCACATCAACAATCACACCAACATTCACATCAACAATCACACCAACAATCACACCAACAACCACATCAACAATCACACCAACATTCACATCAACAATCACATCAACAATCACATCAACAACCACATCAACAATCACATCAACAACCACATCAACAATCACACCAACATTCACATCAACAATCACATCAACAATCACATCAACAACCACATCAACAATCACACCAACATTCACATCAACAATCACACCAACATTCACATCAACAATCACATCAACAATCACATCAACAATCACATCAACAATCACATCAACAACCACATCAACAATCACACCAACATTCACATCAACAATCACACCAACAATCACACCAACAACCACATCAACAATCACACCAACATTCACATCAACAATCACACCAACAATCACACGAACATTCACACCAACAATCACATCAACAATCACATCAACAATCACACCAACAATCACACGAACATTCACATCAACAATCACACCAACAATCACACCAACAATCACATCAACAATCACATCAACAATCACACCAACAATCACATCAACAATCACACAAACAATCACATCAACAATCACACAAACAATCACATCAACAATCACACCAACAACCACATCAACAATCACACCAACAATCACACGAACATTCACATCAACAATCACACCAACAATCACACCAACAACCACATCAACAATCACACCAACAATCACACGAACATTCACATCAACAATCACACCAACATTCACATCAACAATCACACCAACAACCACATCAACAACCACACCAACAATCACACCAACAATCATTTCAACAATCACACCAACAATCATTTCAACAATCACACCAACAATCATATCAACAACCACATCAACAACCACATCAACAATCACACCAACAACCACATCAACAATCACACCAACAACCA